CCTGCAATGATACATCTTGACCTTCAAAACATGAATAAGCATGGCAGTGCAACTAATATCACTTTATCAGGGGAAGAGCTTTACATGTATTTTCTGCACATCATTACCTTTAGTAGAGCTATCCAGCATGCTATTTTAAGTGTCTAAGCAGCTTCATCAATTACAACCAAACCCAATAAAGTTCTCTCCAGTTTGCAAGAAAATGCACTAGTCAACAATGTCAACACAACATCTGCGCCCTTAATGGCATCCTTTAAAGCTGGCCACTGTGTTTTACACTCTTCTTCAAAAGGATTTCTCATAAGAAGTAAAAGAGTGATGATACGTGTTGATTAAGACATACACATAGAACATGAATAAGGTTTACTAGTGATATATTTATATATATATATATAGCAAATGAAGTAATAAGGTGATGATATAAATAGTTGAATGCTTCCTTCAAGAAGCCTTGAATGATTTTATGTATGGTGTTTACCAAAAAAATGAAATTTTATAAAGAACAGTTTGTAGCTCGAAACAAATAAGTAAGATGTTTTGCATAGGACTCTCAAAGACCTTATATGAAGAGTAAATTTGATAAAAAAAAAATAAAAAAGCCCATTCTGTGATGCAATGAGTAGAATTCAAACTTGCCTAAACACATCATTCATGAAACAACTAAACAATTCAAGCTCGTTTACAACCAGGGTGCTTACAAAAAAGAGAAAAGAGTTCTCAACCTTTATACTTGGCTTGCAAAATTTCTCTCAACCTTTAAAATCAAACATTTGAATTCTTACCATCTGTAGTTCAGTTGAACAGGAAGCTATCACACTAACAGAACAGAAGAAGAGAATTAATTGTTGATTTTATTGTTCCGGGTGGGAATTCTAGTTTCGTCTTAAATCACAAAGATTGGACTGACAACATATTTTATATGTACATTTACATTGAGTAGAAAGCACATTCTTTGAAGCCCATTTTCAATACAATTATTCTCACATACAAACACAATATGAAATTGAAAGCACAACAATCACTTAAATCCACACAAGGATAGAAACTAGAAAGTAAAAAGCACATCCTTTGAAGCCCCCCGAATAAGACAAGACTGAGTCTGCTTCCTGATCAATTGAAAAAAAAGAAAATTTCATTAGTTGAAAATTCTTCAATTTGTTGGAAATGAATGCTA